TAGTACCAAAAAGAAACAGCTGAAGGAGCATTTTTCAAGTAATTATGTGAATTGGCAACAGTTAGTAAAATAATTGAGTATAAAAAAAGGATATTAGATAGGCAGCGTTTCTCAGAGGTTACAATGAGCAGAGATTAACCCATCTGCAAAAAACTGGGTCTGGAGCAATTTCAAAATAATGTTCCTCAACTTAAAATTGTTGATACTGAATATTTCATCATCTATATTAAATAACTTCATCAAAAAATGTCATAAAAAAAAATCTGTGTGCAAGGGACATGGGCAAAAATCCATATTGTATTTCTGTCCTGCTGCCTATATCAGACCAGAACGGGACAGCATACCTCTCTCAAAGTTTCAGCAGCTGGTCTCTCGTTTAAACAGGAGGGGATACTAAAGGGTGGCAAACATGGTCCTGTCCCAACTTATTTAAGAGGTGTTGTGTTGCAGATTGCTGTTCTATTTTTCTATTACTATAATCGCGTTGGTCATGAATGCACAATTTTGCTTGGCTTTGACTGTTACCTCAGAGCCCAGACTCAGTCTCTCAGCTATGATGCTTTGAAAGAAGAGAAAAAGAGTCTTTGGTCAACTAGAAAGGGTAAAGCCTATTCATCTGCTTGGAAATACTTTTTATTCAAGGGAACCAATGAGGAACAACAAATATAGAAAAAATTCAAACAAATGCACAATGTTTCAGAAGCCACTAAATCTCCGTGACCTCAGTAGTGACCAAAATGATTACAGTGTCAGCCATGATTAAGCAGCTCTATCACAGAGTCGCAGAGACATGCACCCAGCATTTAAATATTTCAAAAACAACAAAAGATAAAAGAGGTGTGCGGCTGCCATAAATGGACCCTAATCTGCTCACAGCTTGTGGTTCAATGTGATGACTGTAAGCAAATGATAGCTTTGCACACAAATACGTACACCCACACACACAAACACAGACACCCTGTGCCCTTCACAGCTAGAGAGTCCTTCCAGCCAAACCTCAGTCAGCAGCTCAGGCACGTTCGGGTGTCACAGCAGAATCCAAAAGGAAAGCAGCTAGCATAATCTGGCCTCTCAGCCTCTCTCTGCGTCTCGGCTTTGATAACTCTCTCTCGCTCTCTTCAATCACTTGGTGTGTTTTTCTGTTTCTAAATTATCCTGACGTCTCTTTTTCAGCGAATGTGTGAGAGTGCTGACAGAAACGAAGAGAAAGACATGGCGATGACTCTTGTAGGAGTCCCGTTTTTTCCCCTGTTTGACAGGTTGACAGAGGGTTCCAGTAAACGCTGCGTTTACAGACAGACTCAAACAAAAATAAACAAAAACTTTCGTAAAACAAATAACCTCTCTCTCTCTGTGTCTGACACACATGCTATTCCTTCAACTCAGGCAAGCCCAGTAATCTAGTTCGCTTGAAACAACGCAGCCACCTCAACTACAACGGCGACATAAAGCATCGCTCAGCGATCAGAAAGACAATGGGGATATTGATTGGCTGGGAGAAGCCTGTTCAGAGAACAACTCCCCTCCAGATAAGAGCAGCTATATATTTCTATACCACTAATGAGGCTGTGAGGAACAGGCTGCACTGTCAGGCAGATCCGTGGATACCCATGAGAAGCCCTATTGTGTCAAGATAACCGTGGCCTTTCAGGGCACTCAACAAAAGCACTGTTGAATCTTACTGTCTTTATCGCTGCTTCACCAAACTACAGAAAACCTTATTGTTAGTTCACGTTAATGGAACAACTTTAGCGCTGAACTGAGTGCAATCTCTTGCCAGTTTTCCACAAATTATTACACTATCATCAGGTGCTCAGGCTCCTCTGATTATTATTGTAGGTTACATCTTCCCACATTAGACTGAGAAACACAACCGGGCAGAAACTTGTCCTGGTTTAATCTCAAAAAGCACTAATCTTTCTGAAGGCTTCACACTTGCTACAGACATCCTTCGTGTGCTTGTGATGGAAAGTGAGAACGAGGGGAGAGAGAGCAGAGCAGGCTCTGTCTGTCTGAGAGGCTGCTCTGCTGAGGGATGTTTTGGGGCCAATATTTACATTTTGTTTTAGTGTTGGGAACTGGAGGGATCAGTGGTACTGAGCTGTTGACAGGATTACATGGTTTGTAGATGTGTGTGAGACTCTCGCTCTCGGTTTCTGTGTGTGTGTGTGTGTGTGTGTGAGTGTGTGTGTGTATGAGAGACACAGGGAAACAAGAAGAGAAAGCGAGCAAAATTCAAATATGGAAATATTGGTATCAGTCAGTTGCAAAGCTTTGTCAGTGCCACTTTTAATGTGAGCGCCGAGTATTATCTTGCAATACACATCAAAGTTCGTCTGCACCATTGGATAAATGAATCAGAAAACCAGCCTTGACTTTTGTTAAAGGGCACTCCATTTCTGTGTCTGTGCTCTCTGTCAGTGTTACATCAATTACAGCTAAATAAAGAAAGACAAGACTTGTGCACTTTACACTCGATGATGCATGAGTCTATCTGAAGTGACATGAATTGGGTTACTTTGTCTCTAAAATCTATAAAAACTGAATGTATTTCAACATTATTTAAAGATCCAGAGTGAATCAGTGATTAAAGGTTTATATTCTCTGAATAAATAAGAATATTGATTTTCAGTCTGTAGGCGTTAGAATATCTTTGACAAAACACGATCCATACAAGCTGAAGAAGTTCTGCTGCAGTGTGATATAAATGATCATTCTCTGCATCAAAAAGACCAGCATCATGGATTTCACACAGCTGTGTGGTAGCTACTTGTTCAGCTATTAGCGATTCAATTATGTGGACTATCATCAAGTGCGACCTGGGCTACTGCTGCTGAAAGCAAACAGCACAAATCAGCAGCTTGATTGCAAATATGCAATATATCTGTTTAGGTGAGAGCAGCCAGCTACAGATGATGGAACATTTAAGGATTAAATTATGCAATCATAGTAATGTTTTTAAAATATGTTTGTTTTTTCTTTGTGATTAATCAATAAACTGTTCGTGCAAAAACTCACACATTCATAGGTCTCCGCTATGAAAAGCAGCTGGTCCATGTTTTCTCCATTATAGCCGAAGTCCTAAAAGCAAATCTTGTCACCCAGCAGCTATCTTGAATCTATATTAACTTTTAATCAGGATTCTTTGAGCTCTTTCTCTTCTGACAACGCATAACAGGGTTCCTGCGTACATCACATGACCGCGTGAAGCTGAATATCGTGATCATCTTTCAAACTTTTTTAAGGGCACTGTGCTGAATTCATGTCACTTTGTGTGATTATACATATGTCTGTGAAGGTTCTCAGTCATCCAGGTCAT